TTGGGAGGGTTTGGATTTTTGGGAGGACTTGGGATTTGGGGGTTCCTTTTTGTGTTGGGGGGGTTGGGGTTGTTTTTTGGGGGTTGGGGATTTTTTTGAGGCAGGTTCAGTGTTCTTAGGGGGCTGAGGATTTTGGGAAGGCTTGGAGGAGGTGGGGAGAATTTCAGATGTGTTTTTTCGGTTTTGGAGCTCTTTCAGTTGGGTGTTGGAGGGATTTTTGGGGTGTTTTACCCATTTTGGGCCTGGTTTTTGTACAGACAAGCCCTTCATGATCATCACGGAGTACATGGAGAACGGGGCACTGGATAAATTCCTGCGGGTGAGTGACACGTGGTGACAGGGACAAGGAGCACCTGGTGGTGGAACAAACACCCACCACGGGAGGTGGGACGACAGGTGGATTCCAGGCTGGATTCTCCCCTTTTCCCAGGAGAAAGAGGGGGACTTCGGCGTCATCCAGCTGGTGGGGATGTTGCGGGGCATCGCCGCCGGCATGAAGTACTTGGCCAACATGAATTACGTCCATCGGGATCTGGCCGCCAGGAACATCCTAGTGAACAGCAACCTGGTGTGCAAGGTGTCCGATTTTGGGCTCTCCAGGGTGTTGGAAGATGACCCTGAAGCCACCTACACCACCAGTGTAAGTGTCACCACGGAGGGGTGGGTGGTTGGCCATGGCGGGTGGTGAGTTGGTCGCAGTGGGTGGTTGGTTGTGGTGGAATGGTTGGTTGGCCATGAAGGGGGTGGTTGACCAAGGTGAGGCAGTTGTCCAAAGTGGAGGTGGTAGGCCATTGTGAGGTGTTGGGTTGACCAAGGTAGAGTGGTTGGTTGGTCTTGTTGGGGTGGTTGACCAAGGTGAGGTGGTTGGTTTGTCAAGGTGGGCTGTTTGGTTGGCCATGGAGGGGTGGCTTGTTGGCCATGGAGAAGTGACTGGCCAAGGTGAGGTGGTGGGTTGTCCAAGGTAGGGTTGTTGGTTGGTCTTGTTGGGGCAGTGGTTCATGTCGGGGTGGTTGGCCAAGAGGTGGTTGGCCATGGTGGAGGTGGTTTTTTGGGGGGTGCAGAGTTGACCCCAATGTTTCCGTAGGGTGGGAAGATCCCGATCCGTTGGACGGCACCCGAAGCCATCTCCTACCGCAAGTTCACCTCGGCCAGCGACGTCTGGAGCTTCGGCATCGTCATGTGGGAGGTGATGTCCTACGGCGAGAGGCCCTACTGGGAGCTCTCCAACCACGAGGTGAGCACCCACCCTCCACCACCAGGGTTTGGGGGACATCCAAGGCCAGGTTGGACGGGGCTTGGGATAGTGGAAGGTGTCCCTGCCCATGGCATGGGGTGGAACGGGATGGGCTTTAAGGTCCTTCCAATCCAAACCATTCTGGGATTCTGTGACTTAATGCAACTGGAATAGGGAATTCCTTTCTAGGGAATAAAGAGACAAATGTGTGGATGGATTTGGAGAGAGACAGGCTGAGAGCTGGGAGTGTTCACCTGGAGAAGAGAAGGCTCCAGAGAGACCTGAGAGCCCCTTCCAGTGCCTAAAGGGGCTCCAGGAGAGCTGGAGAGGGACTTGGGACAAGGGGGAATGGTTTTAAACTAAAAGAAGGGATAGGTGGGATATTGGGAAGGAATCCTTCCCTGGGAGGGTGGGCAGGCCCTGGCACAGGTTGCCCAGAGAAGCTGTGGCTGCCCCATCCCTGGAAGTGTCCAAGGCCAGGTTGGACGGGGCTTGGAGCAGCCTGGGCTGGTGGAAGGTGTCCCTGCCCATGGCAGGCGGTGGGAATGGGATGAGCTTTCAGGTTCCTCCCAACCCAAACCATCCTGGGATTCTTGCGAACACTCAATCTCCTCCTCCTCGTAGGTGATGAAGGCCATCAACGAGGGTTTCCGGCTCCCGGCGCCCCTGGACTGTCCCTCGGCCATCTACCAGCTGATGATGCAGTGCTGGCAGCAGGAGCGCGCCCGGCGCCCCAAATTCGCCGACGTCGTCAGCATCCTGGACAAGCTCATCCGCGCCCCCGAGTCCCTCAAGGCACTGGCGGATTTCGACCCCCGGTGAGTGTGGGGAGCTCTGGGATGTGGGGAGTGCAGGGAGGGGGGACAGTGACCCGAGGAAGTGTCCAAGACCAGGCTGGACGGGGCTTGGAGCAACCTGGGCGAGTGGAAGGTGTCCCTGCCTGTGGCAGGGGGTGGAATGGGATGAACTTTAAGGTCCCTCCCAACCCAACCATCCCGGGATTCTCTGATTCCAACATACCTTTGTGTCTTCCAAAGCTTTTGGCACCATTTTTGCACCATTTTTTGTAGTTTTGTGTTCCCCTGGTGCTGGTTCGTGTTGGGTTTTGCGTCTCTTCACCTTCGCGTTGCTTTTGGCGTCTCCATTTCTGCCTCGGTTTTGGCACTTCCCCATTTTCACATCCCTTTTTGCACCGTTTCCTTTCTTCACCATCGTTTCCTCATCACATTTTTGCATTATTTTTTTGGCATCTTCCCATTTCTGCAGCGTTTTCCCATCCTTTCATTTTCCTATGATTTTTTAGCATCTTTGCATTTTCAGGTCATTTTTCCCATCCTTCCGCTTCAGCCTCGTTTTTTTTCATCCTTCCACTTTCACATCCTTTTTTTTGCATCGTTTGATTTCCTCGTTATTTTTGCATCCTTCCATTTTTTTGCATTACTTTTTTTCCCCACCTTTCCATTTCTGCGTAATTTTTCGTCTTTTCATTTTCACATCATTTTTGGCATTTTGCATCGTTTTCCTGTGCTTTGATTCCTGCATCACCTTTCGGCATATTTCCATTTCTGCATCATTTTTCCACCTTTCCATTTTCGCATCTTTTTTGTGCCTTACTTCCGTTTCTGCCCCATTTTTGCCCCTTTTCCAGTCCTGCATCATTTTTTGCACCGTTTCACTTCCGCGGTATTTTTCTATCCTTCCTTCTCTGCATCATTTTTTGCACCCTACCATTCTCACAGGAATTTTTGCACCCTCCCATTCCCACATTATTTTTCCCATCTCTCCGTTTTGACACAGTTTTCCGCATCATTTAATTTTTCCCGTCGTTTTCCCACCCTTCTGTTTTCCCGTCGTTTTCCCAACCTCTCATTTCTGCATCTTTTTTTTTTTTTTTTTGCATCTTTCTATTTTCCCATTGTTTTCCACATTTCTGTGCCCCAGGGTGTCCATCCGCCTGCCCAGCACCAGCGGCTCCGAGGGTGTCCCGTTCCGCTCTGTCCCGGAGTGGTTGGAGTCCATCCGGATGCCGCAGTACACAGAGACCTTCATGGCCTCGGGCTACAGCACCATCGAGAAGGTCCTGCAGATGACCAGCGAGTGAGTGTCCCCTCAGTGTCCCGTCGGTGTCCCCTCGGTGTCCCCTCAGTGTCCCCTCAGTGTCCCCTTGATATTCCTGTGTGTCCCTGTTGATATTCCCGTGCTGTCCCTATGGAGTGTCTCCTTGGTGTCCCCGTGTTGTCCTCATACTCTTTCCATGCTCTCCCCTTGGTGTCCCCACAGTGTCCTCCTGACATTCCCATGCTGTTCCCACGGTGTGTCCCTTTGCTGTCCCCTCGATATTCCCATTCCATCCCCATGGTGTCCCTATGGCACATTCCCTTGGTGTCCCCTTCACATTCCCATGGTGTCCCTATGGCACATTCCTTTGGTGTCCCCTTGACATCCCCATGGTGTGTCCCCACAGCGTCCTCATATTCTGTACTGTCCCCTTGGTGTCCCCTTGGTGTCCTCCTGACATTCCCGTGCTGTCCCCACGGTGTCCCTTTGCTGTCCCCATGCTGTTCCCTCAATATTCCCATTCCATCCCATGGTGTCCCGGTGGCGTCTCTGTGGTGTCCCCATCCCGTGCTGTCCCCATGTCATCCCTGTGCTGTCCACATGGGATGTCCCCTTCGTGTCCCCGTGGTGTCCCCACACTGTGCGATATTCCCACATTGTCCCCGTGGTGTCCCTGGGATGTGTCCCCTGGTGTCCCCTTGGCATTCCCACACTGCTCCCACACTGTCCCCACACTGTCCCCACACCCTTCCCTCCGGATCCCCGGGGTCAGGGATGTGCTGGGAACGTGCTGGGAACGGAAACCACTTCCATGGCCTTGGCGGCCCAAGGGACGGGATAAAATTAGATGTTCCTTGGCTGGAGAGGCCGGGATGAGTCACGGCTGTCTGTCCGGCCCTGGGGATGAGCCGTGTCCGTCCATCTGACCCCGGGATGAGCCCTGTCCATCCACCCATCCCTTGGGATGAGCTGCACCCATCCACCTGTCCCTTGGGATGATCCATGTCCATCCATCCCTTGGGATGAGCCATGTCTGTCTATCCCTTGGGATGAGCCATGTCTGTCTATCCCTTGGGATCAGCTGTGTCCATCCATTTGTCCATCCATCCCTTGGGATGATCCACGTTCACCCATCCTTGGGATGATCCATGTCCGTCCATCTCTCGGGATGGACCATCCCTTGGGATGATCCATGTCCACCCATCCCTTGGGATGATCCATGTCCATCCACCCATCCTTGGGATGATCCATGTCCATCCACCCATCCTTGGGGATGATCCATGTCCATCCACCCATCCTTGGGGATGATCAATGTCCATCCACCCATCCTTGGGGATGATCAATGTCCATCCACCCATCCTTGGGGATGATCAATGTCCATCCACCCATCCTTGGGGATGATCCATGTCCATCCACCCATCCTTGGGGATGATCCATGTCCATCCATCCCTTGGGATGATCCATGTCCATCCACACATCCTTTGGGATGATCCATGTCCATCCATCTCTCGGGATGGACCATCCCTTGGGATGACCCATGTCCATCCACCCATCCTTGGGATGACCCATGTCCATCCACCCATCCTTGGGGATGACCCATGTCCACCCATCCTTGGGGATGATCCATGTCCACCCATCCTTGGGGATGACCCATGTCCATCCACCCATCCTTGGGATGACCCATGTCCATCCATCCCTCGGGAACGCCACGTTGAGGTTCCCCAGTCCCAGGGCCTGGTTGGATCCCTCCCACCCCCCTTTCCCCTGGACCCGCTCCCGGCTCCTGTCAGCCCCCTAATCCCTGTTTTCCGGGTTTTTCCCAGGGATATCAAGCGGATCGGGGTGCGGCTGCCGGGCCACCAGAAGCGGATCACCTACAGCCTGCTGGGAATGCAGGAGCAGGCGGGGGCCGGGGGGGCCCCGGGCTGACCCCGAGACCCCCCAGATTAATCCCCCCCCACCACGGGGTTTATTTATTGTTGCTCTTATTAATGAGAATGTTTATAGTATTATTATTATTATTATTAACATCCTCCCCCGGGCATGGGGGGAAACGGGTGTGCCCCTGCCCTGCCCCCAGGAAAAGGGGTGCCAATGGAATTCCGAGCTCCCCGGGAGCTGGGGGAAGTTTTCAGGGGAGTTTTGTTCTTTTTGTGCCCCCCCCCACATTTCAAGAAAAAAAAAAAGGGGGGCTCAGTCCCAAAACTGATTTATTTTTGCTTTTTTTCTCCCTATTTATTCCTCTCCCACCAGGTTTTTGGGTGGTTTTCCCCCCTTCCCCCTCCCTTTAATGCTGTGCCTGCCAGTGTTGCCTTGTATTTTTTAACCTAATTTATTCTATTTTTGTATATTTATTGCGAGGAATTAAAGATTCAGGTGAGAAAAAAAGGGGAAAATTAAAAAAAAAACCACGGATTTTTTTTCCCCTTTTTTCGTGGATTTTTGGGGATTTTTGTGGGGTTTTGAATAAAAAAGATGTGCTTTTTTTTGTTTTCTAGAATATTGTCTTTTCCCACTTGTTTGCAGAGATCGAGGGAATTTGGGGGTGGCGGGAATTTTCCCCTGGATTTAAGGGGGTTTAAGGGTGTTTTAAAGGAGTTTTAAAGGGTTTTAAGAGGGTTTCAAAGCAGTTTTTTAGGGTGCTTTAAGGATTTTAAAAGGATTTTTGAAGGAAGTTTTAAATGTGTTTTTTAAGGGGGTTTTAAAAGGTTTTATGGATTTTTAAAGGGGGGTTTTGGTGGGGTATTCAGGGTTTTTTTTAAGAGGTTTAAAGGGTTTTTAAAGAATTTTAAAGGTTTTTAAAGGGGTTTAAGGGAGGTTTTGAAGAGTTATCAGGGGTTTTTAGGGGTTTTTAAGGGATTTTAGGGATTTTTTAGGAGGGAGTTTTAAGGGGGGGTTAAGGAAGTTCAAGTGGATTTTCAGGTGCTTAAAGCTTCTGGGTTTTTTAAGGGTTTTTAATGTGTTTAAAGGAGATTTTAAGTGGTTTTCGAGGGGTTCTCAAGATTTTTAAGGGGGTTTTGGGGCTTTTAAGGGAATTTTAGGGGGGTTTAAGGGGGGAGTTAAGGAGGTTTAAGGGTTTTTTTCATTGGGTTTTTTAGGGGTTTTAAGGGGTTTTTAAAGGGTTTTAAAGTTTTTTAAGGAGTTTAAAGCTCTTTTTTAGGAGATATCAGGGGTTTTAAGAGGATTTAGGGCCTTTAAAAGGGTTTTAAGTTATTTTTAAGCATTTTTAAGGGGGCTTAAGGTTTTTTTAAGGGCCTTTATTGAGGGATTTTTAAGGGGGGTTAAAGAGGTTTAAGGGGGTTTTAAGAGTAGGGGAGTTTTAGGGGTGTTAAAAACGTTTTAAATGGGTTAAAGAGTTTTTAAGGGGTTTTACAGGTTTTTTAAGGGATTATCAGAGTTTTTAAGGGGGTTTAGAGGCTTTAAAAGGGTTTTAAGTTATCTTTGAGGGGTTTTTAAGGTGCTTTATATAGGGTTTTTTAAGATGGTGGTTAAGGACGTTTAAGGGAGTTTTAAGGGGGGGTTTAGGGGTTTTTAAAGGGTTAAAGAGGTTTTTAAGGGCTTTTAAGGTTTATTCAGGGGTTATCAGAGTTTTTAAGGGGGTTTAGGATCTTTAAAATGATTTTAAGTTATTTTGTAAGGG